AACAATAATGTAACTAAGCATGACAATGAAAATTAATATAAATACCAGTCAAGTATATCGATATGGAGAGCATCTCAGGAGGGGAAGATGAGAAACCTACAAAAACGCCCCAAAGTTAGTCTCTTCTTGAATCTAACCCACTTTCGTATCAACTTTCGGGGAGCGAGGCTGGAGCCTTCACCACCTTACAACTGAGTTGGAGAACTGCACCATAGCTACTAAATATGTGTGGTACCAGCTCGTGACGCCAATTAAACACCAAACAATGAACGTTATCTCCAGTATTATATAGAAAACCAGAATTCAAATACCCAAAAATGTGATGAGCGCGAATCCCGGCGCAGCACCGATACTCCCTCCTGCCGTGCCAATGCTCCAGCACAGCAGCTCGCCGACTCACACTGCACCATGATGTTGATCGAGACCTCCTGGTTGTCCTGCTCGTCGTATCCCGGGTGGCGGGCGGCGCAGCGAAGCCCGGCGCCATCGTCCTCGCGGCTGAACTGGTACGTCAGCGTCGACCGGCTGGTGACCAGCTTCGAGCCGGGGTCCACCTCGTCCTCGACCGTGACGCCCTCGAACAGCTCGACGTCGTCCAGGTACCAGAGCAGTTCAGCTTTGGGCCTGGCGTCGCGCGCCTCGCAGGTGATCGAAGCCGGCTCATCGGCGCTGGCCAGGAGCTCGGAATGGCCGGCGTGCTCGCCGCTGAACTCCACAGCCACCGGCTTCTCTGCAGCGTGGGCGCGAGGCGGGCGTCACACAGGGAACGAGACCGGGGCGGCGCACGGGGCGTCTCGGCCACCACGCGGGACACGGCACGTGGCAGCCCCACACGAGCTGTGGCGGAGGCACGTGCCGTGGCGGGCATCACACGAGCTGTGGCGGGTGTCACACGAGGCACGGGATGTGGCAGACATCACACGGGAAACAGAACGTGGGGGGTGTTGTGTGGGGCACGGCACGTGGCAGAATCACATGAAATACGGGCCGCGACCCGCCACATGAAACTCGAGCACGAGATGTGGACCCCGGCTCGAAGCTGGTGCACGAGCACCAGAAGTGAGCACAGGTCCGAACAGCCACGACACATGACTGGTGTCAAATTATTTGAACTGACCATCGCCGGCGCCCAACACAGCTATACGACGGCGCATACCATTTCACGGGATGCTTGTCGAAGTCTAAAGTAAACGAATCGCAACAGCAAGCCAGTCTATGCAAACCGACGCCTGCGACGACATTCGAAGGAAGGACTGCAATGTCTGTGTTGACAACAAAATAATGATCCATCTCCCTTCGCCATGGACTACTAGCGCATAACGGTGGTCAAGCGACCGCATCTCGCGACGAACAAGACTCACGAGCAATGATGACTTCAGCGAACTCGGCGTCCTCCTGGCCACCAGCCGCAGTGAACGGAGAACACAGGTATTTGCCGTTGTGGTCGCTCGTGACGCTCTCGATGATGATGGTGCAGTCGGTCCGGCTGGTCGGGTCGCGCGCCTTGATGCCCAGCTCAGCGGGCACCTTCAGCAAGGGAACGATGACGTCGGCACAATGGCGAGGCTTCGCCGGCGAGAGCAGCACAAATCCCGGTGATAGCCATGCGGGATATCGATATCATGGGCCGTGTGTTGGAACGCTGTTGTCACACAAAGCTAGTTGGTGACAATTTCAATTCAAAGTGATACACCAAGCGCAAGAAGCGAACTCAAGCGCTAGCTGCACAAACACATCTAAAACGCCCTGCTCCTTCCCAAAGAGGGTGACCAGAGGCGCGGCCGGCTACGCGCAGTCTCGTGAGGACTTCAGTCCCCCCCCCCCCCCGCCCTCACTACGTCAGGGTTCAGCGCAGTTGCTTAAACCACCCCATAAATGAAAATACTTCCGCTGCCTGTAACTTTATAAATGAAAATAACTCCGCTGCCTGTAACTGATCAGGGAAGTTATGTTGTATTTACGTCTCATCAACTCAATGGGCGATGACATGTCGGACCCGACAACAGTCTTTTGATGACAATGTCCGCGGAAAGTCGAGTCAGTGCACACTCGACCACTGTGTTCGAAGCCTGTGCGGAACAATTTCGATGGCCAATTGATATACTATAGTCATTCGCATGCTAGGCATACCCAAAAACATCGGTGACGCTCATTGTCTGTACCCAGTGTGTAGACGCTGGGAAAAGGGCTGGGACTCGACCACGCGACCCCAAAAATTTCAACCTTCATTGCATACCATGTTAGCTATACCCCATAGCACATCCCAGCCGCCAACGGACAAGACAACACATGCACGAGACCAGTTCCTATTTTCCGAGATGACGTCCAGTTTTCCTTTGCAAATATCCAGCGATACTCAAAGTTCTAACCTTCAAAAACCATGCGCTTTAAAGCTTCAGATGTCCCTGAAGCACACATCCAGCATCTGTGCAGCCCTTGTGTCCCATAACACACATATCTCCGTCAGAAAATTATCCCATAGAGTTGCATTTTGGTTTCAAACAAGACGTTACGACTGAAAAGCCCACAGTGCGCCGTGCGGGCAGCGAGCTGGCTCACGTTGACGTTGATAAACCCAGTGGCGCTCAGGCCTGGGGCGTCCTCCAATTTCCAGGCACAGTTGACCTCCTCGCGGGTGATGCACTCCAGGGTCACCGAGTCCCCCAGACGGGCCACGTTCTCCGCCCGCGGCTGAACGCTGAACAGCTGTCCGCATACTCCTGTAGGCCAGATGACACGCTCTGGTCAGGTCATGTCAAATCGGGTCAAGGCAGGTCAGGTCGGGTAGTGTCAGCACAGCGTCCTAGGAGCGTTAGAGCGTAAGACAAATATCCTGTCGTCGGCTTGGGCCAGCTTCACTCAGGAGACGATGGCGAAGGAAGCTCTGACTCGCAAAGTATGGCATCGCATCACACATATGGGGCTTAACTTTGTAGGCCTGGCTGTTATCTCGCCTCAATACAGTACGTTTGAGGATCATTCAATTTAGAAAGTAACTGCGGTAACGAGACAAAGCGCATCAATCTGATAATTGTCACGGCAAAACCGATTGCGAGCTGGGAAGGCAGTGCAAATTGCATTTGTATTTAGATGAACGCCGGCGGGCGTCAGCTGCGTGTCAAGCATCGTAATAGTACGCGTGATGTACTCGGTTTACATTGTGGCATCCTTCACCGACTAAACAGACTGCACTTTTTGGAATGCTCTGGCAGCTATGTTTGTCGGGTTAGGTCCAAATACGCTGTAGTGTGGCAAGTTATCTTGCAAACATTAGTTGAACCTTTAGTCCCCTCTTGCCGGTCTTGCCCCTCTAGAGACACGCGCTTTAAAATGAGACTTAATAGCTTAGATCTTGGAGGGTTGCCAGAGTGTACTGACTCGATACGACAGCGGCCCACAGTGTATTACCAACATCTGTTGCAAACGTGTGGCCGCCTAGAGCTTCCAGCCAGGTGTTGCGACCACTGGGCTCCCATGACTCCGTGAAACGTGCACAAATAAACCACAGCCATAACCAAAAAGCACCCTATTCGACTCGCTTGAG